TATAACTTTTATCTTTCTGTATAGTGTATCTATTTCATATATATGAAAATGTATAAACTTTTTTACCAAAATATAACCAGTCAAGCCCAGAGATATTCACCTCCCTGCTGAGAGATTTCCTGGACAGGAAAGGTGGGCAAACCCCCTGGACCTTTTTCCAAGCCAAGCCAATTAACAAGCCCATTGTCCAGGTATATGCAGAGATTTCCCATCAGCCCAGATAAACCCAAAGCTGTTTGTCTACCTATATGGTTCACTTGAAGCTGAGAGATTGCTGCCTGCGAAAAACAGAGGCTTAAAATACGTGCATGTATCAAACCTCTTTATTGACAGCCAAACCTTTGAGTACACAAGGTCAACATCTCTGTCTCTTGAGTCTTGCACCTTTGTTTTCTAAAGCTCCTATCTTTGTTTGACATAAAACTAGAAATTTGAGCTCATCAGAGACCCATCTCTGTATCTTTACCATTTGTTTTCCCAGACTTTGCCCTCCCAGGGGGCATCTCTGCAGTTGATCAGTTCTTCACTCTGACCAGTCTCCCTCCCAGCCATTCCTGACATGGATCCTAGCCAGCCTCTTTTCTGGCCAATCAGGGGAGGGCAGCGGAAAGTTGAATAGCGGTCAGAACTGTATAAGATGTCTTATATTTCTCTGTATGTTTATGCTTGTACCTGTGAAGCAAATTTGCTTCCCTTTTGGCCAAACTGAATAAACCTCTGTGGCTTGTCTTCAACTTAGTGGGTTGGTTTTCCTGTCCTGGCCTATCTGGTTTACCATAGGTTCACCAGGCACGGATCCTCTTTAGCAGCAGTCTTAGTTAACCACAACAAATTTAATAACAATTTTAAAGAGGAAGCCCTGCAGGCTTCCCAAGGTCCCAATTTGGGAGGAAGGCAGGATATAAATCAAATAATTAAGTATGGCTTAGCCTGTTTCACTTCATTAGAGTGGGAAGATTTTCCATGTGCAATCTATATCTATCCATCTTCTATATATTCTATAATAAAAGTTGGTGTATGTATGTTTGTATGTATGGTGGTATGCATGTATTTTCCAAGATTGCCCCAACTTTCAGAGAGCACCGTACCTCCCGCCAACAACGGATCTGGACCAAACTTGGCACACAGAGGAGCTGAACATAGGGCGGGGGAGATTGGAGCAGATTGACCCTAGGTTCTGGGAGTTATAGTTCAACAACATCCGGAGACCACTCTGACTCAGCCGACAATGGATCTGCACCAAACTTGGCACAAATACCCAATATGATCAACTTTGAATACTGGTGGGATTTGCGGGACTGACACAACATGATGGAAGTTGAGTTCTCCCTGCATCCAGAGAGCCCTGTGACGCCCAACAATGGCAGATCTGAACCAAACTTGGCACACAGGCACAACATGACCAACTTTGATTACTGGTAGGGTTTGAGGGTAATTGACAATGGATCCGGGAGTTGTAGTTTACCCGCATCCAGAGAGCATTGAACCCAGCTGATGACAGATCTGGACCAAATTTGGCACATAGACCCAACATGGCCAACTTTGAATACTGGTGGGGTTTGAGGGGTGATTGACCTTGCATTCTGGGAGTTGTAGTTCACCCACATCCAGGGAGCACTGAACCCAGCTAACAACAGATCTGAACCAAACTTGGCACACAGACCCAACATGGCTAACTTTGAATAGTGGCAGGGGTTTGGGAGTGATTGACTTTTGAATCCAGGAGTTGTAGTTCACCCACATCCAGGGAGCACTGGACCCAGCCGACGATGGATCCGGACCAAAATTGGCACACAGACCTAATGTGGCCAACTTTGAATACTGGTGGGGTTTGGGGAGGATTTACCCATGATTTTGGGTGTTGTAGTTCACCCACATTCTTGTGCATTTTCTAATTGGAGCATTCATTAAAAAAAGAACAAAGACTGATTTTTTCTAATAAGTAGTGTTATAAATTACCTAACAGCGGCATCGCCGGGTACCTAAGCTAGTGTACTCTAAAACTAGTTTACTTTCTTGTTTGTTTTTATTTATTTTTTATTCTCACCTTCAGGGTTTATTGATGAGTAGTATTATTCTAGTGATTTATTAATGATTCACCTATTTATACTCCTTCCTCCTTTCTGAATCTTTATAGTGGATGGTTTTGTTGGCATCACTTCCATTTTACATGGTAACTTCTGATATTCTTTTGACAATACTGCAGCAAGTAAAAAAGGCAGTTTGAACTGCCGCTGGAGATGAGGGGTAAATTGGCCCAAATCAGATGCGGATTCCATTTCTGCAAATGCAGGTGTATTTCAGTGTTTGCTCTTCTCTGAATTTTACAATTCTGTTTTCCAGTTTAAGATATGTGTCTTAGGTGAAAGTGCACATACAATATATCAAAATGTAAGGTATTTGGAAATGTTAATCAAAATGCATGTATGTGGAAAAACTGCATACAAAAATGTGTATGTTATAGGAGAAGTACGCATAAAAATCCATCCCAGTGTTTGTGAATGGATATCAAAATATGATGAATTTAAAAAGAAATTAGGCTGGCTCTACAATGCCAAATAATGTAATTTGAACATTATATGGTCATTATAGAACCTCCTCCTCATCATCATCATCATCATCATCATCTTTAATTACTTATTAATATCCCTCCATCCAAGATGCTCTAGGCGATTTACATAGCAGAAATTATACAGGATAAAACACATACATACAAATATTAATAAATTAACATGAGTCAAATGCTCTAGTAAAAAGCCAGGTCTTAAGTGCTAGAATAAAAGGCCCTAAGTCACGCATGGCTCTCAAATAGGGAGGCAAGGAGGCAAGTTTGAACTGCATTATATGAGGCCTACTACACTGACAATATAAAGGTAGTTTGGACTGCAAGATTTGGCAGTGAAGATCCAAATCTAAGAGAACACAAGCAACTGATCTATCCTTACGTATAGCCATTTTTGTCTGTCCCCAAGTGCAAACATTATTCATTGGTTTCTTGGATGGGAATTTTTCATAGTTGCCGTGTCTAGTGTTTGTATTGAGTGCTTTTCAGAATTAGGAGTCCACGAGCTTTCTACTCCACCCTGTCCCTGAATACTTCTTGTTTTAGGACTTTAATTTCCTGACATTTTTAGGATTTGTGTTTGTTATGGAACACCCATTGTTTTTAGCCCAGCGAGTGCCTGGCGATTCATCAAAGCTGCCTGCCATTGGGCCAGTTCTCTTCCTCAGCACCCTTTTCCTCCACATTCAGCTCCTGTCCCTGGGTTCCTTCCCTGAATGTGTTTGCAGCAAAGACCTCCATAGAATATTCACTGTGTCTAACTTTCCCCTTGCCATAACCAGTTTAGTCTTGCACACACATCCAAAGCAGATCTGCCCAGGCCTTGAGTGGAAAGAGAGACTCTGAGAAGGAGTTTTGTGGAGAGAAGGCAAGCAGGGCAAAAGAAACAGCCTCTGCTGCTCCGGTGCCCTGTATTTTTTCTACAGTTGCCTGAGTAAGGTGATGAAGAGAGGGTGAAGCATGACAGAGCAGTAGAGCTTGCAAAGTGGCAGCCTGGCAGATATCTTTCTTCTGGGCTGGTTTTCTCAAATCCTGGGGAAGGGACCATGCTTCATTGCATATTGTGTTGTGATGCAGTGCTCTGCTGGTACAAATGCGTCACAAAGTGAGACAGAAAGTTAGTGGAAAGGTGCCACTGCAGTACATTTTCACTATGAAAACCTTAAAATCTTATATATTGACAACCTGAGCTTTCATCCTGATCATTCTAACCTGTTGTTTTCATTTAAATCACGGGAGTTGTCGGTTCACAAGGCCTTCTCTGCCAAAGTGGGCTGGTACCTCACCGAACTATAAGTTCTGTGATTCCACAACATTGAACCATGGCAGCTAAAGCGGTGCAAAACTGCATTCATTCTATAGTGTAGATGCATCCTAAGTTTGGGATTAAGCATTTTAATATAATGAATAGTGATGCATGGGATCTGTGTCTTTAGCTGAGCAAAAATTAGCAAAGTTATTCAATCCAGAATTGATCCATTGGATTTATTTCTCTCTGAAGTAAAAAAAAAAAGAGTTAGGATATGGATATAAAATGTGTATATGTGTATCAATCTATCTATGTTTGTAAAAAAATATATAACAAGTATATGTAATCAATCACTAAAATAATTAGTTATTCACACAACACAAACCGCACTATAAATACTGGTATGGGAGAAGGTCTATAGGACTTAAATCATCTGTTGAAGGAAAAAGGATGGCGCAAGATCTCATCCAGTTCTTCGTTTAAGCAGTTTTCATTTACGGCCAACATAAATCTTGTTCAATATTTCCTCCATACAAAAGACAATGCTACAGTATAGTAAAGGTAAAGGTATCCCCTTGACATTAAGTCTAGTCGAGTCCGACTCTGGAGGTTGGTGCTCATCTCAATTTCTAAGCCAAAGAACTGGAGTTGTCCATAGACGCCTCCTAGGTCATGTGGCCAGCATGACTGCATGGAGCGCCATTACCTTCCCACCAAAGCGGTATCTATTTATCTTCTGATCATGTTTTCAAACTGCTAGGTTGACAGAAGCTGGGACTAACAGCAGGAGCTCACCCCTCTCCCTGAATTCCAACCATTGACCTTTCAGTCAACAAGTTCAGCAGCTCAGTGATTTAACCCACTGTGCCACCAGGGGGCCCATGCCACGGTGTAGATTTATACAAAGTGAAGACATCTCTTCTCCTTCTTTCCTCACAGCTACAGAGAGACATGCATAGCAGCAAATTTGGGTTTTCTCTGCTCCATAGTTTATGGACCCTTCATGAACTGCAGCCAGTATACAGTGGCAGCTAGTGGAGTGAGCAGGGCGGGCCTTCTCTGTAAAACAGTGGGACAAGATGACTGCCCTGCTTGATTCATGTGTCATGTGTGTCTGCATAGATACCAGCGACTGTTCGTCTCCTTCTGACTGATGGATTGCTCTGTGTTTTATTCCCCCTTCTCTAGCTCCCAGGAAGTAGACTCAAAGTCACCAAAGGCATTGCCAGCTGGAATGGAGAACGAGCGGGTTTTCAGTGACCTGTGGGAGAAAAGTGAGGCCCCCGCTGAAGGGAGCAACACTTCCTCCGAGAAGGACAAGGTAGGTGTTAAGAAGCAAGGGTGGTGAAGGTGGTCTTTCCTTTGGCCCTTCATGTATTTGGACTTCAGCTCATGAAAGCTTGTGGTCAGTTTGATTGGGAACTGAAATCCAAAACATGTAAAGGGCCAAATTTCAAGAAGGGGCATCCCTTCAGACCAGGTACACACAAATTCAGCATGTTTGCTTGCTTGTTGCTTAATACACTTGGAGAATTTGAATCTATCACCTTCCAGTATACATGGGAAACTATTTTGCTAGAGGGCCATTGAGGCTCAGACATCCGTTGCAGTAGTGTTTTCTTCCTCCTAGCATGATACATACAGTTGTTTGAGATGATGGGGATGAATGGAGTCTGTCAGAAAATGTTGCTGGGTGTGTAAGCCACCCATGTCTTTATATAGGAAACTCCATTCCATTTTCCTTCTTGCCTTCTGACTATGCTCAGTCCTCACTGATCCCAAAGAGATGTTCTTTTCTCCTGAAGGTGGCTTGTCACCCTTGAAATTTGCTCAAATGTACCACAGAAGAGTTGGAAGTAATGTGTTACAGGTTGCAATTATAAATGGTATGGAAAAAGTAGAGATGGAAGTGTAATTCTCAGAAATATAGCACCTGGGATCATACGTTGATGGTGAATGGTAGACAACAACTACATCATGGCAGAATGGTGGGAATTGGAAATAGCAATGGAACACCAGAAGCTAGGAACAATCTACCATTATTATTATTATTATTATTATTATTATTATTATTATTATTTGAAACACAATAAGATGAGTCCACAGCAAACAAGATCACTCTGCTGGCTATTGTATTGGATCACACGTCGGACACTTCCCAAGTGTCTAGGATTGTGTGATGTATCGGCAAATAATGCATGCAGATCCCAGTAAGGTGGCCTTTTGCAGCTGGCAGATGGTAATTTTTTCAGCACCGATTGTATTTAAGTGTAGGCCAAGGTCTTTAGGCACTGCACCCAGTGTGCCCATCACCACTGGGACCACCTTTACCGGCTTGTGCCAGAGTCTTTGCAGTTCGATCTTTAAATCCTCATATTATGTCAGCTTTTCCAGTTGTTTCTCTTCAATTCTGCTGTCACCTGGGATTGTAACATCAATGATCCATACTTTGTTTTTTAACACGATCGTGAGGTCAGGAGTATTGTGCTACTCTGCTTTTTCTCTCCATAGAGAGACTCAAATATGCCTTTAGGTTTTGAGTAGGATATTTGCCCGCCAGCACCTCTCTAAACGGCTGGTGCCCATTTCTGCCACTTCATAGCTAGTAGAAGTGGTCCTTTAGAGTCCTGGTTTCAGTCAGGGTGCCCATCTGTACTTTCTTAGCCTCTTTAATTGTTACTCCTCCAAACACAACCCATAGTTCAATTCTGCACTGTGTGGTGATGTGCTTGCTTCCATCCCGTTCTCATCCAGTTCTCAGCATTCTGCCAGGTCACAGTTGTTACCTGTTCAGCTGCCCTCAAAGCGTGCCAAGAGGGAGAGCCAACTAGCCGAGGAGCAGCAACCCATGCATATCTCGTCTTTGATTTCTGGGATGTAGTACAGGTTGCTCCCTTCTTGAGAGCTGGAATGGACAAGCAAAAGAACAGTTGCAAATTAGAAGAACAATAGCAAGTAGGAGCCCTCACAGATGTGGGACCCCATGGGCCTTCCAAAAGCTAGAGCTGGCAGTGTATGAGTCATTGCTTCTCTCAAGTTTTACAAAACACTTCAGATACTTCCCAGACTGAGTCCTGGGCAGGGTGTTTCCCTCCATAAGAACTATGACAGTGTGTGATGGATTACCTGAGAAATCTATGGTTTTGAGGGGTTTTTGTCTTGCTTTTCTCTTGTTTCCTCTTGCTGGCTGTTTTTAGTTGTTCCCACCCAAGGCTTATAGCTGTGTTGGCCTATAATGATCATGATAGATTAGTTTCTATTGTATGTTTGCTGGCCATAGAGCACAAAGGAAGGAGCACCTCTTGTGGTCAAAAGGGGAAGAACAGTTTGCCATGATCTGTGGGAGCTTTGTGAGTTAAATACCCTCACCTTGTTTGCCACTTAGGGCTAACTACAGGTTTAGGAGGAGCTCAACTTCCCCTGGAACATGGAAGGGAGAAGGTTGAAAATCCCTTCTGGTATACTCAATTTCTACTCCGGCTTCCCTCCCCAGTTTATCAGAGCACCAAAACGTCTTCACGTTTTGGAGAGTTGAAGAGTGCGACTACGTTTTTCTTGCTTCATCTTGTCTTGGCGTTTGGTGAGATAATAGCACACCTGTATGAACATAAACAGAGTTCTTCTGGATCAGATTAGAGCATGCTGTTCCATAATGGCCCACCAGATGCCTTTGGAAAGTCCTAATAATAATAATAATAATAATAATAATAATAATAATAATAATCGTCATCACCTTTATTTGTAACCTGCCCTCTCTCCCCAAAGGGACTCAGGGCAGTTTCCAACAAAAGTGGCAAACATTCAGTGCCATAATAAAGCAGACAAACAACAAATCAATCAACACAGTAAATAACATCAATATAAACTTATAACAACTAGCCAAAAAAATAACCAAGAAATAAGAAATTAAATAAACATAATATATCACATCACACACATTTAGGGTAAAGATAGGTAAAGGTTTTCCCCTGACATTAAGTCCAGTCGTGGCCAACTCTGGGGGTTGGTGTTCATCTCCATTTCTAAGCTGAAGAGCCGGCGTTGTCCGTAGACACCTCCAAGGTCATGTGGCTGGCATAACTGCATTGAGCACCATTACCTTCTCACCGGAGCTGTACCTATTGATTTACTCACATTTGCATGTTTTCGAACTGCTAGGTTGGCAGAAGCTGGGGCTAACAGCAGGAGCTCACCCTGCACCCCAGATTCGAACCGGTGACCTTTCGGTCAGCAAGTTCAGCCGCTCAGCAGTTTAACCCACTGCACCACCGGGGACCACACGCATTTACTACATAATAAAAAGTGAGCAGCTAAAAATACATTAAAAATAAAGAGCAGTTTACTACAACCAACAAGGCTGAGGTAGGGAAGGTCCTGAAGTAAGGCATAGCCCTCTGGCCCACGTTCCCCTACAAGTGGTATCAAGAGGCAGATTGCTAAAGATTTCATATGGGATCTTTTTTCTCCAAGAATGCGCCTCATCTCTTCTTAGAGCCATTCAAACTGCCATCTATCACGTCATTGAGAATGAAAGTTATTTTGAAGGCTTAACTGTGTTGAATGAAGAGGTAGTTCTTTTCATCTATCCCACATCTCCCGAAATTCTCTCTGTTGGAAAACCTAGTCTGCCATAATACACTTGTCCAGTTTTTAAAGTACCATTAGATGATGTTGGTTTGCTGTAACAGGTTGGTTTGATTCCTTCCTTCTGAATTACCATCTAATGCATTAAAAAGGTCAGGGTTTCTCTTGACATTAAGTCTAGTTGTGTCCAACTCTGGGGGGTGGCGCTCATCTCCATTTCTAAGCTGAAGAGCCGGTATTGTCCGTAGATGTCTCCAAGGTCATGTGGCTGGCGTGGCTGCATGGAGCGTTGTTAGCTTCCCACCGAAGCGGTACCTATTGATCTATTCACACATGCATGTTTTTGAACTGCTAGGTTGGCAGAAGCTGAGGCTAACAGCGGAAGCTCACACTGTCCTATGGATACAAATCGCCAACCTTTTGGTCAGCAAATTCTGCAGCTTAACAGTTTAATCTGCTGTGCCACCACACCCCCGCTGATGCATTAGAGGGGCAATAAACTAGTCCATCCTTTGACTTAAATACTTCTTAATGCTCATAACTCAGGAGTAGTTATGGCACAGTGAGTTAAACCACTGAGCTGCTGGACTTGCTGACCGAAAGGTCACAGGTTCGAATCTGGGGAACGGCATGTGCTTCCGCTGTTAGCCTCAGCTTCTGCCAACCTAGCAGTTTGAAAGCATGCAAATGTGACTAGATCAATAGGTACTGCTCCACTGGGAAGGTAACGGAGCTCCATGCAGTCATTTTGGCCACATGACCTTGGAGGTGTCTGCGGACAACGCCGGCTCTTCAGCTTAAAAATGGAAATGAGCACACCAACCCCCAGAGTCGGACATGACTGGACTTAATGTCAGGGGAAAACCTTTACCCACCCTATCTCCCAGATGTCTCAGCCTCCCGGGAAGATTGGAAAAGTGGCATTCCCAACCCCTGCGAGCACCAGCTTCCCCCCAGCCCTGTTTTCACTCCTCTTTGCTCCAAAGTTTCTCCTTTCATGCTGCAATCCCTCGGCCTGCTGCCTGGCTTCCTGCCTTGCCCCACCTACGGCTCAAAGGGAAACATTTTGCACGGTTACTTCTCTGCCAAACCGTTCTATATAAAAATGAGGAACACTGAGAAATCTGAAACAATGTAAGAGGAAATAGTACATTTATATTTTTCCCTGCGCTTGAGGGGAAAAGTTCACACGGGGAGCATCAGCCTGTAAAGGAAGCTATTTGCTCAGTTAGACAGCAAAGCAATGACTTTGGTTGTGAGAGACCCTATAAGGGCTTAGAATGGAAAAAAAGGTTTTTTTGATTCACATTTCAGTCATTGATTACCAGGTTCACATTTTCCAAATCAATATACAATTACGGGCGCAGCTACCCTTTTAGACTTGGTGATATGCACCTAGAATTTTGCAATGTGATTTGTGTGTGCATTGCTGAATGTGCAGGATGACGTTAAATTAACATTATATTCACAACTTTTAAAATGTGAATGTTAGGCACTCTAGCATAAAGGTAGGCATATTAACTAGTTATAGAGCAGGCATGGGCAAACCTTGACCTTCCCTCCAGGTGTTTTAGACTTCAACTCCCACATTTCCTAACAGCCTCAAGCCCGTTCCTTTTCCCCCTCAGTCACTTAAGAGGAAAAAGAAAAGAGGAAGGAAAAGGAAGGGGCCTGAGGCTGTTAGGAATTGTGGGAGTTGAAGTCCAAAACACCTGGAGGGCCAAAGTTTGCCCATGC